TTTTCTTTTGAATAAGAATTTAAAGTTTGTTATTGTAAAATTCGGTGGCATTCTGTCCAGTCTAGGGATATTTCAGCCTAAGTCTGGGGAATTCCTGATCTACATTCGCGACTGACGCGTGGTTCATTTGCTTGTGCGTTCTTGGGTATTGTATAGGTCACCCACGGCTTACGAGAGGTTCATAGGTTTACACACAATTCGTGAATGATTTTCTTTCGTTCTTCATAATCTTCCTTGGCAGTCTAGTTATTCCAAATTCGTCTGTGGTAACGATGGCGCCACTTGTTCTACCCATTTTCTTTGATGGTGCTCCTGGCTCCAGACCACAGACCACAGAGCTTACATATTGATATAAACTCCAAAATACTCATTAGTTTTCTTGTTCTGTGTAAACCTATCATGTTATTGTTTTCTTTACTCTCAGTCAAATGCTCTTATTTCAAAACTTTAATGAATAAAAACCTTTGAATGAAAGTTCCATCAGGGCTGGCCGTTTATTCTTAGCAGCATTTTTGCCGTTTTCTAAATATTGGATGATGCAGAAAACGGATATAAATAAAATTGAACGATACACTATCATAACCGGATGAATATTAGATTACAGTTACAGTGCCTAGGGTCATTGACTAATGATCTAAGTGTTTCCTGTGTAACTTTCTTGTTTAGTGTCCTGCATTAAACAATATATAATAAATACAATATAAAGCTAATAATGTAATATCATTCAACAATAAAAATCATGCGCATCTCTTTATAGTTAATGTATTAGACGTATAACTTACGAAAATGTGATGTTGAACCTGTAAACTTGATTTATCTGAAAAGTATACGACTATTCATAGTGTTTGTTGCAGGGCTGAGGGTTTAAAGTCACTCTATGGGACTGTGTCTCTGCCTTAAGTGATCCACAGCTTATCAGGTCATACGAAGATGGTTTCAGGAATTTTTATTTTTGATTTATTTGAAAGGGGGAATATGAATTAAGTGATCCACAGCTTATCAGGTCATACGAAGATGGTTTCAGGATTATTTATATTTCATTATTACTTTAAATACTTTTCATTTGCATCAGACCATCTGTTATCATAAAAATAACAAAAATAACCTACGGAAAAAATCCGTAGTCACGTCACAATCCGTTGGCCGTTTTTGTTTCCGTTAAGCAGACGAATTTCCGTAGAAATCCAGGCCTGAGTTCCATATGGATATTTGCAACTTGCAATAAAGCATATGGAGATAATACACACATGGTTTTCTAAAGAATTTTAATGGATTTCTCTACACCACCGTCTAACGTATATGATAAAGCATTTCATATGTTTTGATCTAAGTCTTCCAGTTTCTATAGTAATGCGGATTTTTTCTTGTTTATATATATTTTCTCCCAGCTTTTGTTTCCTCTTTTTTTTCTCCCTTTCACTCTCTCGAACAGTCTGTGAATAGAACAATGAATGTGTCTTCATGATTGTCAAACTTTTTTCTCTCCTTGCAGTGGTTTCCTTGCCCCTTCATGACGAAATACTGCTGTAGGCGGGAGGAGGTATTTGACCGGTCAGACGCCCAGGAAACAGAGCATCACAACAGAAACTCAACAGAGAGTGGCGTCAACAGGACTAATCCGTCTCTGAACGCCCCGACTGCTAGAATATATAGAGAGAACAGTCACAGCAATCTTATAAAGGTGGTTCCGCAATCTTTCGATACGCGACCATCAACGGTTCCAAAGGTTTCAAATGCTTCAATAGTTCCAGGTGCGTCGAACGTTTCAAGTGCTTCAAATGCTTCAGAGGTTTCGAGCGCATCGGTTGCTTCGAATACTTTACCGAAAAAGCCGTGGAGAGACACTGAAAGCCAGGCGTGCGCGTGTACGACCCGCGACCAGTGCCTCGCTTGGTGGTCGGAGCTGGACGACCCCCCCGAGGTCAAGGTGAGGACAATCTTACAGTGCGAGGTGCCAGGTCAGGTCACGTGCTGCTTCGGCCGGATTGTTCCTCCTCATCACTATAAATCACGTGACCCAACGTCCTCAGGAGACGCTGCTCGACACTCCTTCAAGACGTCCAGATGGCTGCCCTTCGCAACGACCTGGGAGAGTGGGATTTCGTGGTCTTAATGCCTAGATGGAAGTGGAAACCGGGATGCGAGATTTTGTCATAAATTTCGCAGGAACCCAAGAACTTCCACATGAAGATGAATCAAGGCAGTTTTTCTTTTTTTGGATTATATTGGTCCATATTTCATTTAATTTTACGGATACTGTAACTTGAAAATTATGGTTTTAATGTGCAAGTGAAGAACCCGAGATACGAGATATTTTGTATGTATTTTGTAGGAGCAAGGACTCCGATATGTAAATGAATCAAAACATTTGTTTTAATATAAAACCCATCATACTGGTCCATATTTTATTTATATGGATACTTTTGAAGATTGAAGATATGTTGTTATTTTAAGTTGTTTTTGTTATCTGAATTGTTATTGATACAGCAGTCAGTGTCAA